CTATTGGAGTTATGATTTTGAATTTTCTTCCCCTTTGTAAGATTTTTTAGCAGGGGAATTAGAAATAAATCCATTTTATATTTAGTCATTTATTTGTATTTACAATTAATTATCCTAATAAATCCATTTTCTTCTACTTTTATGGTTATGTCTTTTAATCTTTCAATACCAATTCAATTAGTTGAGATGCTATTTTGGATTAACGTAACTTTGTAGAACTTATTTCCTGTTGTCAAGTAAAAGACTTTCATTAAACATTTGGACAACACATCATAGTTTTTTACACTAATTTTGATATTCCGTTTTGTTAAAATTGCTCTGATGTGTAACTGGGCATGACAGGGCATTCTGCAATTATCCGCCGTGCAATGGTGATTTAGAATTGATGACGAAAAAATCTATTGTCAAAGCTAGACAAGCATTTACAGATGGAGATCTGATTGTACCTTTCTTGCCTCATGTTGTAAGGTAAAACTAGCATTTTCCTGGCAACGCCTGGTGACCTTTTTCAAGCCATGGATAGTGCTTATTTCACAATCGAGAAGGACGTTTCTTGCACATATTACCAATATTACAAATTGTATCCTAATTTACAGCAAGATCTTTGAAGGCAATTGCAACTCTGATAGCAACTTCAATATCTTAATCGCAGAAATCTGCTGTTATTTATTTAGCACACAGAAAAGGGAAGGACATTCAGATAGATTTGGTGGCTGGCTGGCCATGAAGCCCTGGGGAAGAAAAGCCAGCCAGCTCTCTCAGTCTGACACTTTTAACGCACAATTTGTCAAAGCTATAGATTAAACATGACCTTGATGGCATTACCACCCCGGGCTGTGGTTTCAAATGCTTTCTCCACATCCTGCTGGCTAAAGCTAAATCTGTGAGTTATGAGAGGCTTCACATCTATCTTGCCAGTCCTTAAGAAGTCGATGCAAAGTGGCCACGTATTCCTGTACCTGAATATGCCTATAACATCAACTTCCCTGATCAATAGAGAACAACGACAATTATGGTCTGAATATCTAGAATATGAAAACCAGAAGCTTTAGAAAGGGAGCATCATGGAAACAGGAAAGTTATCAAGTTACCTTGCGGCAGCTGGAGTAAGAGGGATACTCATTTGGCTCTGGGCAAGCCCCACGAGGCATACTTTCCCGCCGGCACGAGTAGCACTCAGGGCAGTTGTCATGGTCTTATCCACACCAACACAATCAAAGCTGACATCAACACGGGCACCGATTGCGTTTTCAATCTGAATAACTTCATCCTGCACATCCTGAAACCACAGTATATTTGCATAAATTTAGACAATCTGGAAAAGCGAGACACAAATTAATTTATGAAATCTTATGTGTCAATGAAGTTGCACAGATGCTCAAAACCTCAATCTTCGTGGAAGCTAGGATTGTTCCATCTGCACCAAGCTTTTTGGCAAATGATAAGCGGCAATCATCTATGTCAACCATGACTATTTTGGGGGCTCCAAAAGCTCGAGCTGCCAGCATACTAACCAGACCTATTGGACCTGCTCCCACGATCAATACTTTAGTCTCTGGACCAATATTAGCACGCCGACAAGCATGGACTCCTACGCTCAAAGGTTCACACATCGCCCCTTCTTCTAAGCTTACATTATCGGGTAATTTGAAACACAAGTTCGCAGGATGGAGGACCTGGTTCAGCAAAGAAAAAGGAAATACATTCTACTGAATCGATGACAAATCAAATCTTCGACTATTAATAATCCAAGTTTCCCCGTCACTTTCAAGCTAAGCAGGGCAGAAGAGATAATTAAGCTCGATGAATCTCTAGTTTCAGCAATTGAATTAACTTGAATAGGATTAGGATTCAAGATTCAGAACAAAAATGCTATGCTGAAGTTACCATAGTGGCTAGAGAACCATTAGTTGGAGGAGAGCCAAAGAATTTCATTTCTGAGCAGAGATTATAGCGGCCAACCCTGCAAGAATTGCATCTCCCGCAACTAATGCCTGGTTCCAAAGCAACACGATCGCCCACAGTGAGAGACTTCACTTGGCTGCCTACTTCTTCTACGACACCAGCGCATTCATGCCCGATTACCATAGGCTTTTTTACCACAAAATTTGCGCACCTCATGTGCTGGATGGAACACACGACGAGAGTAACCATACTATCAGCTTTTAATAATGTTAAGGCGAAGCACCAAAAAATGCAGTAGTCACCGTTATATACTAGCATATGTTTAAACTTCCAAAACTTGAACTGTGTGGTTTACCTTGAAGTGATGGACATCACTTCCGCAAATCCCAACCGCTTTGATGCGAATTTTGGCGTCATGAGGGCCTAAATTCCGTAACTAAACCAGTGAACTCACATGAAAATAATAGATTGTTTTATGCTCAATTGACAGTACTCATCATTTTCTTATATAGATTGAATTGCTTTTTTCATAGCCATCGATAGTTGTGGGAAGTATGCAATAGCTTTATATATCAAGAGCAGAACGCAGTCAGTCACTGGGCTACCTAATGGAACCACTAAATCTTGTTAGATGATGCTTCATGCTATCACGTGAAGAGCGATGACCTCAAACAGTAGAAACAAATTGTATAATTTTGTAATTCACAATTAATATTTCAACTTGATTTATTAACTCTGGTACTAAAATTTGAGAGGACAACTTTGAGGTGACGAAGAATTTCTGAGTAGTGAGACAGTTCCGACAACTATGATGCAGTGGATCAGGAAATAATACAATGATAACTCAAGATAATACAAATTTCAAGACATTACCAAATAAAAAACTGAGAGAAGAAGGAAGAAGAAATTACCAAGTGGCGGGAGAGTGTAAGGTTGAATTCGAAGCGTTTTTATCCCGACAAGCCAAGCTGCCATGTTTTCTTTTCCATCTTCTTCGGTCTTGTTTTCACGAGACATTGGATCTCGTTCTCTTTGTGTACTAAGTATACACAAGGTTCTTGATGGTGGTGGTGGTGCTGATCAAGCTTATCAAGTTTATCATTTGAACTCTCATTCTTGTCGATACTCGTCCTGGATTTAGCTTTTGTACGTTTCTTCTTACTTTACCCGCTGGATTTAGCTTTTCTCTATACTAGTCATCCATTCCTTTTCTCCGCTCCGCTGATAGAATAGTGCATATGCCAAGTAAGCAAATCTTGGTCCCAAGGGCAACCATTTCTCTGCTTCTACATTGACTTAATGCACTTGCTGACTGGGATACCATTTTGGACGTTGATTATATGGTGGAAAGTGGGATGAACTTCCCACCATGGGCAGAGCTACTACAATCGCTACAACTCAATGTGGGAGCATTGTCCAAGCCGTGTGGGTCCAACTAAGTTAAGGCAACCGGCTATAGTAAGTAAATTATGTAGCAGAAAAATAAAAACTGTGGGGCTTTCTAAAGGATAACAAGAAATGTAGATATACATTAGACTCAATTGATAAATTAATCATCATCTATATTGTTGAACCATGCGAATTAAATTAACCTTTTGTGATCATTATCACTATCATTAGTATTTATCAGTTAATAGTAATGGATGTTTTTGTTGAAACCCATAGAGTGTTTATAACTAAAAATATAGATATAGGTTTATATTTTTTTTCCCTACTTTTTTTCTAAATTTTTTTCACTCTTTTTTAACTTTTTATTTTTAATTAAAAATATCAATTACATTGGTGAGTAAATATTGACTTCCTATTAAAATAATAGTCAATCACAAAATGAGCCTATGATATCCATCAACTCATTCCAATTAAGTATTAAACTTAATCAAACGAAAAGTATCACTATGAATAATTTTGAAACTCATTCCTGGAGGAACCTACCTAACAAATGCCTTCTAAGTACATGAAACAAATTGACTTATGCTAAACTTGATTGATGGCACAATTTGTGTAGACAAATTTTTTTTGTGAAAATTCATGAAATATGCGATGCAATCCCCAAAGCATGATCAATTGTAAGTAAAGAAAAAGAAAAATCAATGAATGATTGCCTAACTGATTCTCATGTTAATACCTAAATATTTTTTTAAATCTAGTAATATTTCATTAGTTGACACCTGTCACAATCATCATTTGTATCATGGTACAAATTTTCTTTGGTTATTTACCAATGTAATATGTTTTAATTTTTATTACAATGAAACCTTATTACTCATGTTTAAACAATATAGGGGGACTTCAACTCCTACATGCACATATCCAAAAATTTAATTTTCATCAAATTTTTAATAACATTTTTGTTGATAATACTAACATTTACCGCTTTCGTTAATTGCCATATAATGTAATCACATCTAAATTTCTAATTCTTCCATTTATCATTACACTCCACTTAATTAACTTATCTTTCTACAATATTTATGAGTCATTAATTTTTTCGTTTCAAGTACAAAATGGTAGCACTATATTTAAAAAGTTCACTATTTTCTTTATTCCCAATCCTCTTTTCTTTCATGTTTCTTTGATACCATTCAATTGTCCAAGAGTTAAAAACACTTTCTTGGGTGAAAACAACTTGTGAATGATGCAACTTTTGAACGAAATCAGCTTGGGAAATCAGCATGTGAATGAATCAGCTTGCACCTTGCAACATCAACAGCCACCAAATCAGGTTGTGAATGATTCAGGAAGTTCAACTTCCTCAAATGTGATTGATTCGACCGCATCAAGTGATTCCTACAAAACAAAAGTATGAAAGTTATAAAATTCTTGAAAATCAGATATAATGAAACTGTAACAACAACAAAAACCTCCAATCAATTACTTATGCGAGACTTATTCTTTAGGCCATGAAGACTGCGGATCCAATCGTTGCCGCAAAGCAACATTTGCACCGTCTCAACTGACATAGAAGCTCATTGATCATCAATTACTCTACCTCCGGCGCTAAAGGTAGATTCTGAAGGCACAGTTGTAACAGGAACGGAGAGTATATCGGCAACCATCCTCGACAAGATAGGAAATCTCAATCTTTCCCCTTTCCACTAAGCCAAAACATCCAGATTCGCATTTGCATCACAAGCATACCTACTTTCCTCTAAATAAACAACCAAATTTGATTTTTCTGGTGGAGCCCTGTTAATTTCACTAACATGCATGTGAAACTTTTCTTTACCAGTTAAAATGGCTGGTCCAATTATTTTACTAGCTTTCTTACTAGAAGAACTAGAACCTTCATTTTGTCTCCTTTTTACAACCTGCCTCTGTTGTTGTTCAGAATGGGAAACAATGTGACAATCAATATATTCATTGTAAAACTCATAAAGAATGTCTCTAATTTCAGCCACGAATCTAGGAGTTGCATCCTCACCATAAATCACCAGAAAAGCATGATTAATAAGAAACATTTTGTATCTCGGATCCAAAATTGCACCCAAAGATAGCAGCACATTACTTTTCCCCCAATACTTATCAAATTTAGTAGACATACTTCCAGCCATAGCTCGAATATGCTCATAAGGGTCAAGAGCTTTTTTATTTAAAAGCTCTTTAATCCTATAGAGCTCCACAAGAAAAATGTTAGCTGTTGGATACTCGGATCCAGAAATCATATCAGTGATTTCATGAAATATTCCTAGAAATTTGCACACTTCTTCCACTTTCATCCACTCAAAATTAGTAGGAACATGGTGAAATCTGGAGTCAATGTCTGCATATCTTGGAAAGACATCCTTGAACTCTAAACCCAAAGCTAACATCAAATATGTGATATTCCACCTTGTTGGACAGTCCAAAATTAGCTTTCTAGAGGGCAACTGAAGCTGTTTTTTTAATTTTAGCAAATTCAAGAAGCCTAGATTCAGAATTGTTTAAGTACTTTATCCATTCTCTAACAACATCAATCACACTACCAAGTTGACCAAGACCATCTTGCACTAAGAGATTAAGTATATGTGCACAACATCTAACATGAAAAAAATTTTCTCCAATATTTAATCTCTTTCTTAGAGAAAAATCCTCTCTAAGTCTCCTAATGCACATATCATTGTATGAAACATTATCAACAATTATGCTTGAAACCTTATTCTCAATCCCCTAATCAATAAAGCACTTACTTAGAGCATCAGCTATAATAACTCCAGTATGAGGAGGAGGAACATTGCAAAAATTCAACACACGCTTTTGTAACACCCAATTAGAATCAACAAAATGACCAGTCACAACCATATATTGAATTTTTTTTACCAGATTTTCACAAATTTGTGGTAATACTATTCCTACCAGCACCTTTCAACAATGATTCACAACCATATATTGAATTTTTTTTACCAGATTTCCACAAAATTGTGGTAATACTATTCCTACCAGCATCTTTCAACAATGATTCAACAAAATGACCAGTCACAACCATATATTGAATTTTTTTTACCTGATTTCCACAAATTTGTGGTAATACTATTCCTTTTTCAATTGTATAAGTACTAATGCAATCTTCCTTTACAGTCTACCGATTAATCTTTTTATAAAATGGAGAAGCCGCTTTCATGAATTTGTTGAAAACTACATGATCCATCATAGAAAAGGTGTGCTCATGTGCAAGAATCATATGTGATGCAAGCTCTCTTATCTTGGCAAGATCATACGAGAAATTTGTAATGGAAGTGAACCATCACTTAGGCCTTCGGTGAATGATAGCACTTGTTGCTTCTGTTTGTTTTGCTCCCCAATGGCCAGCTTTCTTTGTAGGCAAGAATTCAAGTGTCTCTTGTGCTAAGATGTGGCTCCGGTTGCACTCTTGGCAAAAAGTTCCTTGCAATGGTTGCACTTCACTTTGACTGTCCCATTATCTAGCACTACTGTTGTCATTTCATCCCATATACTGGATTTCTTCTTCCTTTGCTTTTCTCAAAAGGACTAACTCCTTCATCTCCATCTACTTTCTGTCCTCCTTCATTGCTCTCATCTTCTATCATTTCTATCTCTTCTTCACTCATCTCATCAGCTTTTCCTTTGTTATAGTTCAATTGTTCCACGTCTTCATTATTTTGCTCCATCACAGGACTTGATGATGAACCTTGAAATGAATTGAATGGAGAGCTGTACATTCCTTAATCAAAACACATTCAATAACCAATACAGATTCTGATTAGCCAAAATAGAAATTTAGAATAACATTTCTAAGAAATAAGGTACAAAAGTAATAAAATAGATTCCAAGAAATAATCTCCTTTCAAGCCAGTTTTAACATTTCTTTAACTTGTTCCTATCTCAATTCTCAAGCTTACATCCAGATTAATGAAATAACAGAGAAAAACTCTTAAAAATGGCAATCCAAACAAAAAGTTAGTTTTGTTGAAATGAAGAAACTAAAATGAAGAAAGTTTTCTTGAATTTATATTTGCCTTGCAGAATCTTCTAGGTTCAAGTATGCTTTCACTGTCAAGCTAAATCAAAAGTGCAGAACAGGAAGAAATATCACATGCTAAAGAAAAGAAGATGACTAGCTCTGTTAAAGTTTTGTCCGCTATTTGTTATATGGTTTAAGACCACAAGATTCTCAATTAAAGTATTTTACTTATATGTATACATATAGGGTTTATACAAGGATACATACTTACATATATATGTATATACACTGGTTACAGCTGCCTTTACCTAATTACCATGGTTATAGGTTGAAATTTTAAAAGCAACAAAAAATATGCAATGGGGCAAAGGCTTGATTACTTTGACCAAGTTTAAGACTTGGTCAAGGCCCCACCAGAAAAGGCAACTCGAGTGCAAGAATATCCTTTCCAGGATAACTCCATTTAGCATTTGTTATTTGTTTGCCCACATTACACTCAAACTATGAAGCAAAAATATTTTACCACGTCTATCCGTTCCCCTTATATACTAACATTCATGTGAATGCTCCACGTATGATCATATCATCTAATCTAATAAAAGCAGTCGATTTTACCCAGCAGCAGTAATCTATCCATCTATCTGCGAGTAACCACCGCCACCTATGTATGTACAGAGTACCATTTCCAGTGATGATAGCAAGCAATTTGATGAGAAACAAGAAAAATGAACAAAGACAATTTCAAAAAGGCCCAGGTGCAGAAGCCTCAAATGATGATAGTAGCAGCAATGCACCGAGGATTTAATCATATAATCATGTTGATCATAGGAATTACACAAAGCATAGACTTGGCTCATCCATATTTACAGTAGAGAGTGGAGTGACATTCCATTTAATGGGGACTACAATTCACTTACATATCCCATGATACCAACTTTCATCACAATTATATAATAATAATAATAATAATAATAACTCGGAATAAGTTAAAAAAACACAATCTTCAGCTGTTGTTAGACTATCCGCTTAAGTACTACCCAGTCCCTTTGAATTTGAGCAGCAGCCCAAAAACACCCAATTCTTACTTGCACCCAAGACACAGAATCTACTACTCTCTTTTCCGTCTTCACCTTCCATCCAATCCAAGCCAAGCACCATTTTTGGTACTGCTCCTAACTATATATATTTGATACTGATAAAGCAATAATGCTTAGAAAAAAAAGCAAGAAATTTGATGTGACCCATTAGTTAAAACACAGAGATAAACCTAGAAGCAGGAAGCCATATGGGATACGGGGCTATCCACTATTAACCAAAACCCACACAGCCTCTTAAAACCAAAAATAAATTGCAATGACAAGAAATGGTTACCAGATTATGCAGCGAATCGGGATATGGTCGTAGACCCTAGCTCTACCGAGGTGGCTTCGTATGGCCACGGATTCACGAGAAGTGGTGGTGCGTCCCTAAACGGTGCTCGTAAACTCGGATTGAATGATGGCGGTGAGATGGCGGACGGATTGGTGATAGAGGTGAGATGATGGATGGAATGGTGAGTCGGTGACGGTGGTAAGAATGGAGAGTGCGGCTGCGGCTGCGGCTGTGGAACGGGAAAAGGAAAGACCGAAAGAGGAAAGAAAAAATTAGAGCTAGAAACGGGAGAATGAATTAGGTTAAAGTATCAAATACACAATGAAATGACGCTAATGCCCCTACTATTCAAGCCTGTCGAGCTTAAACGAGTCAAGCATAGCTCGGCTCGTCTATTAAACGAGTATCCAGTTGAACTCAAGCTCGGCTTGTTTCTTTCAATAAACGAGCCGATAAGGGCAATGAGCTGAGTCGAGCCCTTATCGAGCTGAGTCGAGCTCGGCTCGTGAGCTACCCGATTCGATTAACATCTCTAGTGAGCAGAACTGGTCACTTTCCACCATAGCCAAAACCCAAAAATTATGGTTTTCTACAATATGGTATAGATGTATCTACGGTTGATTCTATGGTAGAAAATGGGATGAACTTCCCAATGTGGGTAGAGCCACTACAATCACAACAACTCAATGTGGGACCATTGTCCAAGCCATGTGGGTCCAACTAAGTTAAGGCAACCAGTTGTAGTAAGTAAATTATGTAGCAGAGAAATAAAAAACTGTAGAGCTTTCTAAAGGATAACAATAAATGTAGATATACATTAGACTCAATTGATAAATTAATCATCATCGATTGTTGAACCATGCAAATTAAATTAACCTTTTGTGATCATTATCACTATCATTATTATTTATCAGTTAATAGTAATGGATTTTTTTGTTGTTGAAACCCATAGAGTGTTGTATAACTAAAAATACAAAATATAGGTTTTTTTTTCCCCACTTTTTTCTAAATTCTTTTCACTCTTTTAATTTCTTCTAGTATTTTTAAAATTTTTATTTTTAATTAAAAATATCAGTTACATTGGTGAGTAAATATTGATTCCTTTTAAAATAATGGTCAATCACAAAATGATCCTATGATCTCCATCAACTCATTCCGATTAAGTATTAACCTTCATCAAATGACAAGTATCACTATGAATAATTTTGAAACTCATTCCTTGAGGAACCAATTTACCAAACACCTTCTAAGTACATGAAACAAATTGACTTATGCTAAACTTGATTGATGGCACAATTTGTGTAGATAAATTTTTTTTGTGAAAATTCATGAAATATGTAATGCAATCCCCAAATTCATGAAATTGTAAGTGAAGAAAAAGAATAGTTAATGAATGATTGGTGTTTAATATTATATTACTGCATATGATATGTTCTAGGTGTGTAGAAGTAATCAAAATTAGTTTTTGTAAAGGATATATATGATGTGGTGATTAGTTATTTGGTAATTAATTTCAATTGGCTAATTACTAACATAATTTAAGTTCATAGTTTCATTAGATTTAAAATTTAAAATTTGTATAGTTGTCATTCATCCAAAACTGATAATAAATATAATATCAATATATAGAATATTAATCGTTAAGCGAATCCCTTAACTTTCTTTTATTTTTTTGTCCCTCTCCTTCTTTCTCCTTATTCCGAAAATTCAAGCGAACTTTTCAATTGTGCCTAACTGAGCCTCATGTTAATACCTAAATCTTTTTTTAAATCTAGTAATATTTCATTAGTTGACACTTGTCGCAATCATCATTTGTATCATGGTACAAATTTTCTTTAGTTCTTTTGTTTTTGTTTTTGTTTTTATTTAAATAAAAAATTTATTTACTAATGCAATATGTTTTATTTTTTATTACAATGAAACATTATTACTCATTTTTAAACAATATGGGGGACTTCAACTCTTGCATGCGCATATTCAAAAATTTAATTTTCATCCAATTTCTAATTACATTTTTGTTCATAATACTAATATTTACCGCATTCGTTAATTGCCATATAATGTAATCACATCTAAATTTCTAATTCCTTGATTTATCTTTACATTCCACTTAATTAACTCGTCTTTCTACAATACTTATGAGTCATTATTTTTTTCTTTTCAAGTACAAAATTGTAGCACTATATTTAAAAAGTTTACCATTTTCTTTATTCTTGGTCCGCCTTTTCTTTCTTGTTTCTTTGATGCCATTTATTTTTTATTTTTGGTGGGTCCCCTATATCTGGAGAGTTTCCAAAATATCTCCAATTATTGGGCCATTTTATGATGACCAAATTTGTAAAAGGGCTTCCCCTGTAATATCAAAAGTTTTTTTTTACCCAACACATGAATTGCATTCGTATTTGGTCCCACCAGCAACTGCCCTTTCCTGTTCATAGCATAGCTTTAGGCTGTCTCCCTCTACTCGGCCCTACCAAGCACTATTGGCCTTCTCATATTGGTTCTACCCACAATGAGCAGAACTGTTCACTTTCCACCATAGCCAAAACCATGTATCTACCATTTTTGTGGTAAAGTTCTGACCATCCAATGGCAGGTGGACAGACAAGAGAGAATGGAAATCGAAGTTGTGTGAAGTGGTTTCGAGCACGAAGTCCAAAATGGTGAGAGATGAAGGGGCCCACAATAGCGGTTAAATAGAACACCAGGAAAAGAGAAGTGACAGGTTGGTTTGATGTAGGAAAGGACATGGAATTGAGGGTGTGTAAGAAGATGTCAGTTCAATGTATGGACGGGGAAATAAATCTGTTTTGAGAAAACCTGGTATGGAAAGGATGCAAAGATCTTAAGTGGCAGTTGGAGGAAATGATGGTGGCAGTCCAAGATTTAAAAGGCTTAAGGGGCAGCTAAAGCAATTGAAGGGGGCAGAGTGAAATAGGAATGAATTCCTAGCAACCAAATTAAAGGCATTTTTTTAAGTATACTTACATATGTATGTAACCAAAAAATTTAATGGGTCATGTAATACAATAGTCTATAAAATGGAAGGGCAAATGTGTACAAAGGATGATGTAGAGGAAAGAAGTAGGATCAATGACGAAGGCAGGAAAGACAGGAAAAGAATAAAGGCACGCAGGAGTGGCATGGAGAACATAGGAGTCAGGCGAGCAAACAAGTTACAAAAGTGAAGTTGTCATGCAAAGTGTAGAAAATGGAAAAATTGAATGTTGATGACATGGATGTAGGTGTTGGTCGTGATTAGTGGAAAAAGAAATGGGAAAAGTGAAAAATGGAAATGGAATTACCGGATCAGTAGAAATGTATTGAAATGGATGGATTGTTGAGAAAATGAAAAGAAAGATTAGTCGATTAGAGTGCAGTTTTTTT